GCCTTATATCTTACAGGAAGTAGATAAATTCCCTAGAAATACATTTGTTTTTCCTTTTAAAAAAAGCAAATGCAAAAGGAAAAAAATTAAGCAGGTAAGATAGTCGTAAGAAAGATAAACGCGCTTTATAATGCCAAGTGCGTCTAGATTATATCCTCCTATCCTCCTCGTTCTCCTTCTACTATTCTTTCTCTTACTTCATCCAACCGTATCTTTGGTTAGCCTACAATACAGTGTACATATTTATTTATATCTTTTCATAAAGATTTTTGCGACTTATTTATACTGGCCTCGTTTACGTTCAAACAGTTTTAAACCTAGTAATTAGAACATACCTATTTATCGGTTAATTTTTATAAATAGAATACTAAAGTTTTATCAATAATATCAATAGTTTATAAAAACATAACTTGCACATATTTGACATTTATATATATAATGATAATAATTTTTCATCAATTTTTAGATCATTTTACAGTGCGTATTACTGGAATTCTGCAAAAAAAATATATAAAAAATTGACACTCATCTCCTATCTCAATGATACGGAAGGACGAATGAAAGAATTTAATGAAAATTCCTAAAAAGATTTCGTAACTTTACTCAACTGGTACATAGACAATACATACTTATATATACTGTATATATATACAGTATATTTATCTTGAAGATTCCTTTGGAAGAGAATCATAAAGTCTATTTTAATGAACTTTCTATTAATAATTATATAGCTATTTTAGAATATAAAATTCATATACCGTTTTTAGTTATGCTAATTTAAGTCGACCCTTATATTGACCGGAAGCAAAGATAAATTATCCATCAGAATAAAGCTATTCGATTCAAATGGTGTTAACACTCAAACTTTGAAGAAACATGTTATTTATATTAAACAGAGATATAAAATGCTAAAATAGTTCGCATACATAAATATACGGTAAATATAGAAATATAGTAATATTACTATATTAAATACGTTATATACATAGTTAACATATAATTCACCTAAAAGTCAATTGAAGATTGTTAAACCAATAAGAAAATTCTAAAACAATGTAAAAGAAATTTCATTTAATAAAATAAATGTATTTTATAAACGAAAAAAATTTTTATAGCCATTTTAGACGCCCACCAAGCCATGCATATAAACATACGTCACGTATATAACGAGTTGCAAACCGCAGAACCTCTCATAGTGTCAGTGCATAGGAAGCTCTGCATATATTCTTCGTGGTAATTCTTTTCTATTTGATGATTTCTTTTATATTATATTGAAACTTATCCTTAAATCTTTCTAATATTTCTTTGTATATATAAAATATTCCGATTGATTTTAAAGCAATATAAATTTTATCTTAATTAGAATATATGTATATGCTTTTATGGAAATTGTGTGTATATTATAGTATATTTTATATTTAAATGAACTATATAGTATTCAAAATATCCACCCATTTACCATTCAATAAACTATCTGTCAATGTATCATTAAAGATTTATTTACTTGCTCTTCTCATAGTTTTAATGAAAAGTTATAATAGCTTTTTTAACATATATTGTAAACAGTTCTATTTACCTAACTACTTGTTTAAGGGATCCAGAGAGAGAGAGAGAGAGAGAGAAAGAGAGAAAGAGAAAGAAAGAATGTAGATTTCATTCCCTTTTGTTTTTTTTTTTGTTTTTTCTTCTCACTAGTTTTTGATCCTTGATACTATGATAGCTTTTTAAGAAGCAAATGTCATCGACACAAATCTGTTTTCTTAAAATGTACTTTTTAAGAGGTTTTAATTTGATACTTTCTTATTGAAATAATACTCTTAGTTCATCCTCTCTTTCTCCTTCTTTTCAATTTTTTTCAAGGTTAAACAAAAAAAAATAACGGGAAAAAAGTTTAATCATCAGAGAATGATAGTGAAGTTTTGTCCCCCAGTCTGTTCTGTTTAAGTTAGAAAAAAAAGGGAAATAATAGAAGGATTTGTTTTTTTCCTATAAATTAAATAGAGAACTTGTGTTTTTTGTTTATTCAATTTTCCTTCCACTTTTTAGATGAATGAAAAAGTCAAGATTGTTTTACTAATTGTTAGTCTGCTGCAAATTTCGGCTGCTTTACCACCAGAGTATTTCAGAAATGGGTAAGATTTCTATTCGATTGCTGTTAACAGCATATATATATATGTTAGTGTTTTGTGATGGGGTTTTCGGATATATTAATGTGCAGACATTCTCCTTAAAACCGGAAAAATATTAATTATTCCGACTTTCTTGCCTTAATGGCCTACTGAATGTTAATTGTTGTTTTTCCTCTCCTCTAATGATAAAATTTGCAGGAGAGGGGAAAAGCATGAAAAAAAGTTTTGTACAGGGCAAAAAATTTTCCTATTATCTTCTCTAATTTCTATTTAAAGAGGTCTATTCATAGAATTTAGACAAATAAAGTTTATCTCTTGAAATATATATGCCATTTAATGGGAGATAAGCTGTTTGTTAGTTATTATCTTAAGATACAAAGTAAGAAACAGGAAAACTATTTTTATGTGTTGACTTATACTTTATTGTATATTTATTACAGTGACATTGGCAAAATTACCTGGCAGTTCTTTCCCTTCCCCCCCCCCCCTAGTCTTAAAGCATGTACGAAAAAATCTGATAATGTTCCCAAAGGAATCGTAAAGCTTTTTGTAACTTTTTAATAGCTAAATCCGTTTATTGTTTAGTAAATGAAATAGCTTTATAATATCTTTAATATATACTGTATATCACTTTTCAACCACGTTGATTCAGTACTTTCTCGAATCTATCCATTCTCTATTAAGTAGGCTCTCTCTTACTTTAATTCTCCTCTCTTCTAATCAAATAGTTTATTCAATTTGGCGTTTATAATCAATATAAAAAGTTATCTTTCCATAAAAAGATGAGACAAGTGCCCGTCTATAAACGAATGTTTACTCAATATATAAAAGGTACTACATCTCTCACCTGTCTAGGCTTACTTCCTCCGGAATTACATAATCAAGCCAAGTTTTACGAATAAAGTTAATTGTTCAAAAAGTTCATAATCACTCACCTTTAACGTTTTAGCGTCAAGGTGAATTAATGAAAACCTTTAGTAATAATGTAGTAAAAAATTAGTAAACAAAGAATTTCCCAACTGGCCAGAGTGACTCATAAATTTTCATTAAACACTTTATTATTCCCATGGCTTTTAGCTTTTTTCATAAATTCTCTCAACCGTTGAATGTCATAAAGTTTACTCCGGAAGTACATAATACAATAGATGGCGTTTCTTTTTTTTTTTTAGCTATAATCATGTATTATATATAACATAACGGGTATCAATATATAGTATCGTTTTATAGAGGAAAAATAGATTGTATCAGGGAAGATGACTATAAAATGATAGCGTGTACTCTGTAAGACTAGTAGGAAAGTAGTTAGTTGACTATGAATAAAATTTAAAATCGTATGGACCACTTTGCGAATATTCCTTTCAACAAGTCTTTAAGAATATCTCTCATATTACAAAGAGTTACCAATTATTAGTAATTGTGTGAAGGATAATCTAACATTCCTTCATCCCTCAAAAGATACTTTATTGTTCGGCTTACAGATGACCTTTGTTTAAGCTCTGGATTTTAAAAGTAATTGCAAAAAGAAAGTCCAGACATAGTTTTTAACGCAAGCAGCTTTCAATTTGTTTTAATTACAAATTTGTCTTTCTCTGTAACTTTCTTGCAAAATTGAAAAACTAAGTAGTTAGTGATAGATAGATAGATAGATAGATAGATAGATAGAGAGAGAGAGAGAGAGAGAGAGAGAGAGAGTGATGAAATAAGATTATGATTGTATATCAATTTAGAATACAGAATTGATAGAATATCATTTACGATATACGTATTTATATTTAGATCACAAGTGTGATTTAATCATTTTTCCTTAAGCGAAGAGTAACCCTTTTTTTTCAAAGAACATAATATTTACCCTTTAGTAACCTAGGGAAGGTGATTTTTTCTGGAAATGCTACCTATATCTATATATATTCATTTGTATGGAAATATCAATAGGTCTAGGAAAGAATAGACGAGGAATTTAAGAGTACTTTGTCATAGTTATAATAACAATAAAACTATTCTAACATAGGTTTCATGTTGCAGGAGATCATCTGGACTGTGGCCAAGGAATTTGATAACGGAAATTTGCGAACATTGCGCCATCTATGGGCCGAACCTTTACAATGAATGTGTCCAGAATATTGGAAGCAAACGCTTACAATGCCTATTGATTTATAATGCTGATCGTCGTGGTTAATATTTAAACAAAGAAAAAGCATATAATACTATGAAACTAATGAATTGTTCAATGTTTTAGATATTTAGAAATCGGAGATTTTCTTTGTTGTCGAAAAAAATTGGCTTCCTTGCTTTAAAAGATAATAAAAAATGGTTTTTCTTTTTGTAAAATTCTAAAAGAGATAATTTTTTCGTTTTGACGTCGTATTTATTTTATATTTTTGATTCTTTTTTTTATTAAAAAAAAAAAGTTTTCTAAATAATTAAAAAGGAAAAAAAAACAAAACAAAACAAAAAGTATTTTATCAAAGCTTCTGACTTTTTCTTTCTTTCCCTCTCTCTCTCTTTGTCTCTCTCTCTCTCTCTCTCTCTCTCTATACAAAAAAGTTTATAACTTTCTTTTTTTTGTTCTTTTCGCACTAATATATAAATAAAACATCAATTTTTATACAAATAATTAATGTATATTATACGTACAGCTATGTGCAGTATACAGCATACCGTAGTAAATACAAGGTTTTTTTTAATACATAAACAAACGTATAGATATACATTATATACATATTGTACATATATCTACACGCTTTATATATATATATAGATTATTCTTTTTGTATGGAATTTTAACAAGCTTATCAAAATAAAAGAAAAGACAATAATCGAAAAAACATTTTAGTAAAATTTCCTTCTTTCTTTCTTTATTCTTTACTGTTTTTAACCTTCTTTAAAGTGATCAGGATCAGGTAAATCCAAAGACTGGCTTCGTCTTCCATGCAATTCAAGCAGTTTTTTATTCCTATCCCATTTTCTATTATTTTGGCGATCTTTAATAAAAAGTGAAAATTAATTAGTTATGTTAGTTAGTGTTTTTTGTATATAAACTTTAATTACTTCTTGATCTTGTTTGTTTTTGACCTGGTTTTAATTCAAGAGTAGTTGGTCTACTAGGTGATGTGTTGGGTGATAATTGACCATCGACACTCCTACTTCGTTGAGATCGGAAACGCTGTCTACGTTCTCTGTGACCGTGTGAAGGCACTCTCTTAGCCTCGGTCGGTGATATATCTAATATCGGCATTCGACTTATTTTACGATTTGGCGGGTCTTCGAGGCTGACTGATTTTCTGGATGAAAATGCTCGACGCCTATTGCTTGCGTGACGATCGTTAGGATCTAATTCGATAATGTGAACTTCTGGCGGTGGTATTTCTACGCTAAACGACCTTCCACTCCTGAAATTTTGACGTCTATGTCTCGTTTCTTTTTTCATTTCATTTTCATAATATTCGCGCATTGCTAGCCTCTCTTCTCGACTAAAAACATCTCTTTTCTTTTGTGATTCTCTTTCGGGAGTTTGATTTTTCTTCGCTTGAACGTTCGATTGCGCTTTCTGTAGTTGGAAGCTATCTAAGTTAGGCTCCTTTTTCGATCGCAACTGACTCACTGCGTCCTTTTTATGTGCATTTTCTACGCTTTCAGTAGATATTTCTCTCCTCTGAAGCTCTCCTGGATTGGCGGATGTAGCACCTGGAAAAATAATTCTTGGACTAGAAACGGACCGATTCCTGCGAAAAACTTCTTGGGGAGAAGGGTTAACAGGCTCTGTTATAGTTACGGCGGGAGTGTGAAGAGATTCTCTTCTAAAGTTATTCTCTGGACGGGAGGGAACAGGTATAGTTCTCTGAAAGGGATTTTCTGGAGGGTCAATATTTGAGATGGAATCCTTTCTATTAATCGTATCTTGGCTTATTGGTTTGGCAAAGAAACCAGTAAAATAGTTTTGTAGCGATTTCATTATTGATTGTTTTGGTTCAGCTGTATTGGAAGAGCCCAATTTTCTATAACGGGTTCCCGCCTTAAGCGATTCGTGCTCTACGCTGTCTATACTTTCTGTTGTACTCCATGAGTAAATTGTCTCCAACTTTGATTGGTAGACGTGGCCCATTCTCGGCAATTGGCGGCAAATATCTTGTTGGTGTGTTGTTGCTGTATAATCGAATGGTGATTGATGAGCGTCTGGTGATAAATCAGATAATTCAGAATAATCCAAAGAGGTTACTCGGTTATCACGTTGTAGTTTTCTTGACTTTTTACGATTTGAATAGTTATCGCAATCTGTTCAAGTGTTAAACAAAAAACCGCAACTTATTAAAAGAGCAAACCATTCAAACCTATTAAAAGATATTTTTATTTAAGCCATGCCATCTGGCGTATTTCTAGTAAACTATTTCTAGAGTGCTGAGCTTGCAATAGAGATTGATGAATTATTTATGATGAACATTAATGGATAGTTCATTGTTTTAGTCTCGTAGTTAGTGAACGGTTGTTTCTATGAAAAATTTAACTGTAATCTATATTTAGGTAAAATTTAGTTGGAATTTGGGTAGAGAATGCCAAAAAACCTAATAAATAAATTAGTAACACTTTTATCATTGAATTATAAAGAATTCTCCTTCTCTCCAAAGTATATCTTTATCATAATCGATTAACTTGTATCTCCCTATACATTCCTTATAACTATTAATGCTCTTACTAAAAAAACTTTTCTTTTCTTTCGTATCCTTTTATCTAACGTTTATCTTTAATATTCACATCTCTCCATTTCTCTTCTCGAAAATTTTGTATAGAACATCTATTTTCTCCAAATAAAATATGAGATTAATATTATTTTAATTGCTGATTTATTATTATTTTACTACTATCTCTCTCTCTCTCTCTCTCTCTCTATAGTTTACTTTCCTTCTGTACCTTATATTAGCTTAATCGGGCTAATGCGGATAAGGAGAGGAAATTAAAATTGATAAAATTAAATTAATAATAAAGAATTGAATGATATATTCAAGAAAAAAAGAGAAAAAAACTACTGTAGGTGGAGCAACAAGTTAAAAAATCTCAATTACGTAGAGGAAATACGAAAAGCAATGTTGAATAAAAACCTAATGCTAGTTAACAGCTTTCGATTGTCATCGAATTGCTGTAATACTTTACTCTATACATATAAAGTGAAAAGTGTTTACCGCCATTTTTTAAATATAGATTTCTATATAGATAGAATAGAGAAGCTAGATAATTATAATCTATACGACAGCTTAATTAGGTATATACTGTCATTTATCTATTAGAATCTTATTACAGATTTCCTTCCATGTGGAATCGGGATAATAACGTTTTGTTGACATACGCAGCATTGTATATGTATACATATTATTCTGAAATTCTGGTCTTATAGAGCAACAGTGTTAGATAATTATAAAAAAGAAGAGAGGATGAATACAAATATACGGTATACAGTATATACAGTATATATATTTATATATATACATACTAACATATTTTATTCATGAAATATTTAACATTTAACTGGGTTAAATAGTTTTTTTTTATTAACAATTTATTTTCAATCATCTCTCTTTTCTTTTGAATAAAATCTAATTATTGGAAATTTTACACTCTTGCTTATTTTTTTCCCCTTCCTCTTGATCTATACTTTTCATTTATTCATTAGTTTTATATCTTTTTTTTATCTTTCTTTATGCGATAGAATAAGGGGTCATTTTCCAAAAATATCAACCTTTAAGAGTGTAATGGACCAATGTGTGTGACCACTATGCTCTTAATGTCTAGAACAGAAGGCTATTCTCCTCCACCCCCTCCCCATATTACTTATATCTATCCCAGGGATTAATTGATAGTTTTTTTTTTTCAACGTAGCATTTACAATAGAATTTATTACGGAACGACAGAAGAAGTATCTTACTGCAAACAAACTAGAGCAAAACATAAGCCTATTGTTATATGGATTACGTTGAATTTGCATCATCGTATATTTATCTATACTTGTATACTGTATATATATATGAGACTTTACAGAGGCATGAACTAGTTATGACGAGCACAGGATGTTCTTTGTAAATGTTTTAAAAGTTCCTAAGTATGGCAATAGTATCATTTTATTTCAATTTTAAAGGATAAAATCGAATAATTTAGGATTCGTGTTTCAAGTTTCAAAAGAAAAAAATAGTAAAATGTTGTTTGGGTATGAAAATAAAACTAATTTAGAATTGTATCTCTATGTTTAAGGTTATAATTAGCTGTATAAATTGTTAAGCAGCGTATTCCCCCAGGCGCTTCCTTGTTGTGGCAACAGACGAATAATTAGGGAATGTAATAGAGTAATGTTCTGTTAATCTATATTTTTTTTTCATATAGACGTCGGACATAAAATACATATATACAGTTTATATATATATTTAAATTATTATAGATAATGTATAGATAATGCAAATTAGGGAAAAGTTTCTTCATCTTTACTTTCTTTTCTAATTAGTTATAGTTGACATACGTTTCAATACATCGATGATAATGGTTGAAAGTTCATTAGTTTTAATTAACGAAGAAGGGTATATATTGGAAATGAGAAGGTTCTTTCTTACCTTGGGAGCAGGGAATTGTTGGGTAGCTGTTTGATAGAATGTCTGTGATTTCAAATTGTTCCTTTTGCGATTGGGAAGGCATATCAAGTGATTGGCTTTTACTCTCCTTCATAAACCTCACTCTTCTACTTCTACTCGATGCTCCTACAGGGAAGAAGAGAGAGGAATTGTTAATTACGTTTATTATGCGAGTGTTGTTGATAGCGTTTATCGGCTGAATTGTCTAGAAAAAGTTTACTAAAAGCTAATTAAGCTTATCTAGAAAAATTCTGCAGAGAAATTTTCGTAAATCTCACCTGAAATAAGATTGTAAAATAAGCAAAGCACTATACAGTTAAAGTTGAGTAATTAGTGAATATAGAAAAATATGTTATATCAACCATTCTCTTTTTTGTTTAATTAAGAAAAACACGTATTGGTGTAAATATGTACATTATAAACAGAAAAGAAAAGAAGAAGAGAAAACAAAGTGGATAGAGGAATATAGATAAAGTAAATGAAAAAAGTTAGATTGAAAAAAAAAATGAGTGGGAGTGGGAGAAAGAAAAGACAGAGAGATAGAATGAGAGAGAGAGAGAGAGAGAGAGAGAAAAGTTATAAAAAAGAAGAGAGAGATAAAGAATACAACAGAATAATGAAAAACAATAAATAATAGTGTACATTGATAAAATATAAATAATCTTTCTTTCTTATTTACATCATAATATCAATGCATAACGCATTTTGAACTGAGAAGGAAAAGAGTATCAATATAGCTATTAGAAATTTTCTTATTACTATTAAAATTACTATTACTATTATTATCATTATAATTGCTGTTGTTGTTGTTGTTGCTATTGCTGTTGCAAAGGTCATATAAAAAAATGATATATGACAATTATGAAAATTTGTATGAGGTTGTAAGAAATTTCTCATTTCCTTATAGTATTTTTATTTTTTTCTTTAAAAATTCATTAAAAATTTTCAAGAGAAATTCACTAAAACGAATTAGTAGGCCTAAATTTTGAATTAGAGATTAACTGATTAAGTAATCGAATATTTCTCTTTTCTTCTTATTCGATTTTTATATTAAAAAAGAAAACAAAAAATAGCAAACTTACTTATAATATTCAATTGGCGTCTATCCACATTACCAGTTGAGAGAATGCTACCAGAATTTCTACCACTATCCTTAGATTCTGTAGATGCTGTTCTTGTTGATAATGATAAAAGTGATCTTGAAGTTGTCGATGCCGCAGTATCTGTATCATCAATCTCACTATATTCATCTACGCTTAAGCCATATGATCTCAACTGATCCCTCAGATTTTTGGTAGCACTAGAATGTAGATTCCTGAGAACCGGTTGTCTTCTATTCTGATGACCTTCCCCCACTGAAAATAATGAAAATGGACATGATTTAAAATGATTGTTTTAAGACCCTATTTCTCCTAAATATTTCCTTTTAAGACAAAAACTATCGTGCTCTTCATGTAATTTATAAATAGAAACATAAATTTCTATTGTGGAAAAATTGTTTGTGAAGAAGAATAAAAACAAAAAAAAAAGTTCCAATCCTCTACAAAAAAACAAAAAAATCTTGTAAAAGCCAAAAAGAAAGAGCGCTGACAATAGTAAGAAAAAGTCTGAAAAAGAAGAAGAAGAGGAAGAAGAAGTAGGAGAAAGAGAGATTTGTTGATTGATTTCACTGATCAGTTATCAGAGATAATTTTAACTATATATATATATATATATATATATATATATCTATGCAATGATGTATTATTATTAGTCCTAAAACTTTCTGTCTATCTGCTCTCATTCATTAATATAAAAATGAAAAAAGTAGACTTTATTCTACTCTTCGTGCCTTCTATACATCAATCCTGATTATTTTTCTTAATGAAATAGCTGGGTTGCATAAAGGCCTATAAAATCTTTAGAACATGATAGTTTTTCATGTATTCAAAGCTGACAATAGTAATCGATTGTAGATAGCTTTTTAGATGACTTTTTTGCTATTCTTTTATTTAACAAACTTTTTTCTGTAGTTTTTTTTTCAAAAGTAAAAACTTTGAAAAATGGTAGAAATTTCTACTGAAACTCGAGAATGTTATTATTTTGATGATATTCCATAAAGAAGGATAGATTAAAAAAGTTTCGTGTATGGAAAAATTAAAGTTAAGACTTAATATCTTTGCTGAAACGGGAAAGACAGAAAGAAAGAATTTTTAATGATAGAATGAAAAAAGATAAATGGATTTCTATGATCCTATCTTTTTTCATTTCATATTCAATATATTTGAGATGTTGAAAAAATTAATGATAATGTGAAAAAGAGAGAGGGAAAGAGAGAGAGAATTACATAACATTTATACGAAATGAATATGCGTTTGCCTAGCTCGCTTATCCTTTTAGCTTTGAGATATTGCCCTGATTTTGAAAAGGAAAAGGGGAGGATTATGACATTCTTAACCATATTCATATTCTAAATAATAAAAAAAGCTGAAATTTAAATCATGAAGAAAAAAACAACTATAAATATAACATAATAACAAACAAGTAGAGAGAAAGAGAAAGAGAGAGAAGAGAAAGAAAAATAAGAAGAAAACAACTATAAACTGCAAAAACAAGTGTATAGATTCTTTTCTCCATTTAAAAACGTATATGTGATTGAAAACCTATTCTTAATATTGAAATATAGAGATATTTCCTTAAATCTGCTGCGTTCTATGAATTTGTTATTGAATACTAAAGAGAAGGATAACTTAAGTTATGTTTTTTTTTTTGTTTTTTTATTCATTTTTTTCATTTCTTAATTAAAAAAAAAGAAACAGCAAAAAAGAACATTTACGTTTTATTCCTTCTTTTCTTTTCTTTTCTTCTTTTTTTTTATAAAAAAAAGAAATATTTTCAAAAATATTTCAGAAACAGAAAAGAAAAGACACTTCAAATAAAGTTTTTCTATCTAAAAGTTCAGTTGTTTGTTCCTTTTTTTTCAATCAAAAAGCGAACCAATAAGCGTTGAAAACTGGGAGAAAATTTGAAATTCATACGTTAAACAATGCCTTTTCTAATGTTAGATTTTAGAAATAAGTTACTTAAGAAGGTTAAAGAGGTTAGCAAAACTTTTCGTGCAGCTCTTTTTGTTCTTTTTTTTAGGGGACAAAGCGTCTCTCTTCGTTTTAGTAAAAGAGAAAACATAAAGATGAAAACTAGAGTTGAAATTCAATACACATGTTTTGCAGTAAAGAATAGAATAACTAATAGATAAATAAAAAAAAGTTTGCCTTCAGAAACGAGAGTGTCATGCAGCAAAGGCGATAGTCTAAAGCAACGCTTCAAATAGGCGGCTCTATGGCCATGACCTTGACCTTGCTGTAAAGGAGAAAGAGACGGATCCGAATGCCGTTTAGGTCTTTCGTCCCGAATGGTAAGATGTCTGGGACTCTCCAAAGATCTGCTATGCTGTCCACTGGATTTCAATCTCGCTCGTTTTTCGGCCAGAACTTTATATTTTGAAAAAAAAGAATGTTTTGGAAAAAGATATCATTGGTGTTTTTTTTTTTGTTTTTTTGTTTTTTGTTTTTATTGATTGATTGTTTGTTTTGTTTGGAAGATTTTGGAAAATCTTTTCACTTTATTAATTAAATAATATTTGTTTGTGGTTTTTGGTTTTGTTTTTTGTTTTTTTGGTATTTTTAAGAAGTTTTGTTTGTTTATAAAAGATTAAGTAGGTCTTGATTCCTTATTCGATCGGTTGGCATCTGTGAAAATAATAAAAGAAAAGATATAAACAAATTTTCATAAGCTTATAGAAAAGAAAAGTGGATTTTTTTCTTTTTTATTTTTGATTATCACGCAGTTCTTTGGTTTCTGCGTGTTACAAGATGCTTTTTCTTGCGTGTGTTGTGCTTGTGATGCGTTTGTTGTTGTAGACAATTGTGAATGATGTGCTTTTTTTATATGTGGATATTATTGATAAATATTTCTATTTCTGGAAAATACATATATATATATATATATATATATGTATTTGTTTATAGCTTTCTATGCTTAGTACTTTCTGGATTTTAAATGATAAATTGTTACTTTTGTAAAACTTAATAGATTTATACTGAAATTATTGATTTCTTTTTAAGGAATTCACTGGCTGTAATCTATTTATATAAATCAAAAATATCTAATAGATAAGTGTAAAAATAGGGAGGGAGAAAGAGTTAAATCGATTTTTCTTAAAGGTAAATCAATCTTTAAAGATAAATGAGAGAAAAAGTTTTTATATAGATAGAGAATCTTTTTCTCCTTTTGTACAGCTATACATTCGTATCTGTTTTTCCTTCATTCTATTATTGATTCATATTATATACTTTTGTAAAAACTCATCCAGACTATTCAGTATCTGCAAACTTTATTTACTCAATCTGCAATAGAGCTATAACACGTATTATACATTTTCTTGCGAACAAATATAGCCTCGTATAAACATACATACATACATACATACATACACACGCGCACTGACAAACATTTATCACACATATTTCTATATAAGCTATTCATTGTTCCTATATATACCTAATATTTATTAATTGAAAAGTATGATAGACATGACATACATATATTAAATCACATAGCTATTCAATACATCATTTCCAGTGAATACCTTAAAATACAAATCTATTAGTTTAAGTTGTTTCTTTTAATGCTATATTTTATTTTTTAATTAAAGAATGATATCTGATGTGAATTTATTTTGATTGTTGCTTGTATACTTGGATATTCAGAAAGTGAAAGAGAAAGTGATAGAGATAGAAACAGAGTGTGACCAAACACAGATATAGAGATAGTTAGAGATAGATAAGGACTAATAATAATATGAAAAAAAGACTCAAACAATTGTCTAATCTCATTAAAAATACTTGAATACGCATGAAATTTGAACAATAAATGGCTCTTTAATACAAAATGATTTAATTTTCATATATTAACTATTAATGTTTGTAATTTGTTTGTACATTTGGCGTTGTGATATAAATTTATCTGACTTTATGACCTACAAACTAAAGCAATAATGTCAATACTAAAGATTAAGAAAAAAATATTAAAATAATAATAATAATAATAATAATCATAATAATCATAATAGCGCCTTTAGCCTATATTGTTGCTAGTAAATTATTCTTTCAATAATGCTTTGCATTGTGTACCATGTCAATTCAAATAAAATTTGCCTGGAGCGATATTGTCATTTCTTCAATAAGGTAAGGAAATTGCAGTACTAAATTAAATAGCTGATACAAAACAGAAACTTGTCATTTGAATGAATAAATATGCTAATTATTTAGTAAACTATTTTAACTTTTCTTTTTTCCTTCTTTTTAAAAATGAATTCAACTGAAAGGAAAGAAGAGAAATCCTAATTTATACTCTTCCTCCTCGCTGTATAAATATATAATTGTCAGATAATTTACATCATTCTTTTCTACGTTTGATAATGAGGAAAAAAAAACAAATTTCTGGTAACAAGTATTGATTATCATGAATATTCATTAGGTAATATTTCTTGTGTTTCTTATCTTTTTTCCCAGACAGAATAATAAGACACTTTTGAAAATTTATATCAATTGGCTGATATATCAATATATATATGTATATATAGAGTATATTAAGTATAAATTATGTATTTTTATTAAGTACATTCTTCCACCCTCGCCCTCCCACTCCCACTATTGCCATTTGTATACATTTTTACGCAATGTACATATATATACCATATATTCTATACAATTATTAACCATACACCATGTAAATTTGATACTCTAGCGATGGTTAGGTTTTTCAGGTACGTATTAAACTTCTTAATAACTAATTAGTTAATACGTAAAGAGAAAACGGAAAGATATAAATTTTGAAAAGGGCTAACTTTGGCCAATCACTGCACACCTTTACAATCAGACTGATAATTATGGACATTGAGAATACAACAAACTTAGAAAATGAAAAAAAAAAGAAACATAAAAAAAATGATTAAATAAAATATATAAGTGAAAGAAAAGAAATGTAAAAAATGATCGAGTTCGATTAATTTGATTATCGAAAACGATACTATATAGCAGACGACGCCCTACATGCATAAATTATTGACACGCACCGTTTGTGCCACTATTGAACTGGTCCGATCGAGAATGGTCGCGGCCGGGTTAAAAAAGGCGTTACTAAATACTATATACTACATTATATATGAACAGTATACAGTAAACAAATAAAAAGAATTGGACGACTATACTTACCTGAAACAGGTGATTCAGATTCCCTAGATTGTTTCGGAATCTCAGAAGCCGATTTAAGGAGTGTATAAACTGGATCTTCTGCAAAAAACCGCAAAACTTTTATAATTCAATAAATAAAGGACAAAAAAGTATTACATATTATAAAAGGAGAGAAGAAGCGGATAGAAGAACCAAAAAGAGAGAGAGAGAGAGAAAGAAAAGGAGGAATAGAATCAACAACAAAAAAACACTAATAAATAATAAAAAAAAAAGAATATTATATAGAAAACCCTAAACAAACAAGTTGTTTGTTCTAGATCTAAGGCTTGTTTTTTAATTATAATCATAAATCATAATATAATTAGAATTATTGTTATCGATACTGTACATGCATTGACTATTAAAACAACTGTTTTTTTTTCTTTATTCGATTCTATTAATTATCTAAAATAATTGCAATTTCCCTTAACCTAATCGCTAAAAGTATAAGTAAAACATACGATTATTAATTATTCATAATAATCTTATGGAACGAATGGAAACTGGGTCAATAAGTTCAAACCTATATATTGACCTAATAACTGTCTATTTTATTAACTCGACTCCTATTTCATTAGTATTTACTTACCAATATTTTCATTATCTTTACTGTCTCTCCTTTCGATCGATTTAACCCTCTTTAAAACGGTAGTCAACGATTGTTTTCTACCGATTTTATCAGATTTTCCTAAAGATTTTATAGCTTTTTTCCACATAGCAGTGATGCTTTGCTTTCGTTGTTTATCCATCCCACTTCCGCTTGATGCACTAGAACCGTCTGATTCACCTCCGTCCCTCCTATCCAAAGATAGACGTTCAACTTGATCTTTTACAACTGCTAATTGAATTTCAGCAAATCGAACTTCGTTCCGCTTTCTACACAAATCCTCCTGAGTTTCATAGACTTTACTGTACAATTGATTTGAGAGATTTCTGTTGGTGACAACGATTTACAGGTATTGACGATGGGTATGTACCTAACATACGATTTATATACTCCGCACTTTAAATTGGTGCGCTCCTATACACATGTTTCTCATGTGCATTGTAAAATACTTTAGGCCTATAAATTGTTAAGTTGATTTGATAATTGAATCTAGTCCTCATCCTTTCCCCTCCCCCTCATAAATATGAACTACCCTGCTACTATAATCATCTGTATTGGAATTAGCTATATGAGATGTAAGAGGAGGAAAGAATAAGAGAGAGGCATGGTTTTCTTATACATACATATATATATATATATATACCACTAATCTATTTTTCAGACAAAGGCAAAGAATGGAAAGAAAAAAAAATAAGCTCCTTTTCGTTGTTGTTAGCGTAGAGTTTTTCTTTCAAAGGCTAATCTCGGTGGAATATGATTAAAGTTGATAATTTTAATCTTTCAAGTCATAAGTAATAAGATAGGAGACATTTAAAAGTATTCCTTTATCCGTTACAAAAAAATAACATGATATTTTCATAAAGTATATCGTTTGTTTTAATAAAGGTTTGCATCGACCTATTATCTATCCATTACTGTTAAACCGAATGTCAAGAAACTATTTCCCTTTAGCCCCAAGAAGCGAACGCTTTTACCTAAACTTCAAAGAAGTAAACACATGAATTGCACCTAGAAACTGATGAGTATGAAAGGAGTATAATTTGCAGATCGATGTATAAAGCATTATATTTTAATCAATAAGAAAATTTCTTTTATAAGACTTAACGAAAATAAATTTTTTTTCTTTTTTAGATTCTTTTAATGAATTGAAATATTTCGCCTAGATTTATCCTTTATTCTTTGTCTCTATCTTCCTTTATCGTAAGCATTTGAATATAGACTTACAATTGTGTACGTGATACACCTTACTGAATCTGTTGCGGTTTATACCTATCATCTCTAGCTGTCTATCTATCTGTCTTCTCTTCTCTCTTTTTCTCTACTCTCTCTCTCTCCCTCTCTCCCAACATTCTTAATTAGTACAACACATATTCGAATATTGATTATTTCAAAGGAATATAATAGAAAACAACGTAATACTGTTATAATAATAATACTATAATAGTACGTATTAAGGAAATCAGGATGGATAATGCATTTGTTTGAAAAAATTTAATAAATCATCAATCATTTCTCCTATTCAGGTTCATCTTTGTGAAAAAAATCCAATAAGAATAAATTACTTGTTAAACCAATAATTGTCACAATCTGCCTAACAATCTGTTGGCTTTACTGATTTTTATATAAATACACCTACACCATTGACTAATTGCTTCTGTCGATGATCCAGGCTTACTTGTTTGTAAGACAAATCAGTACAGTAAACTAAATGTAAATTATATGTATCGTGGTCCAGGTAAATATATGCAAAGGGAAAAATATGATAGCATACATGTATGAAGATAGTTGGAGAGTGTAAAATAGTTAAATTGTATACTACTAAGGATTAATCAATAGATTATTATGAAAGTAATCGAAGAATGAAAGGAAAACAATAATCTTTACTATATACTATTACGTAAGTTTTCTATTGATGTTTAAAGAGTAACCTTTCTACTATCTTCTCCTCCTTTTCTCTCTTTTAATTAGCTTTTATTTTTTTTAGTTTAAATTAAAAAAATTAAAAAACAAAACTACTAAAAAAAGGAAAAAAGTAATTTTAAACTCCTAAATTTAAACTTACAGAATCTTCAAACAAAACTCAAGAAACTATAGAAAAGCATCTTTACTGCCAATTCAATCGGCTTTAGGGTGCTTTGTTTTAATTAGTATTTTTTTTTCCTTTGGCCTTGTAGGCCTGCACAATAATTTAGATTGTCATTATTTAGATAAACATTTATGAATCATGTAAATTTGTGTTACGCTCTTTAATATCCACTAGAAAATGAAGATCAGGATAAATATTTAAGAAGCTACTCTTTTATCTATACTCATGAAAATTTTTTGTATACAATGTGTAGGAGAAAAACTGTTAAATAGTTGATAGAAAATTGTTAATTCAACTGGGACAAGAAGGTCAAGGAGTGAAAAAAATAAAGAAATTGTTGGCTTAAAATTAAATTAATAAAGCCTAGAATTGAAAAGACGAATGGAAAAAATAATCGATTAAATTAGACGAATGCTCTGCGTGTATATCTTTCTAATAGGCTGTAAGATAAGGATCGACTGTCTAACAAAAATTCAAAGGCTTACTAAAAAGTTCTTCCAACCATTAGAACGAGTGGTCTGAAACCATTAAAGACTCGTATCGGATTATTGTCTGTTGCATTTTTAACCTATAGCAATTGTTGTTTCATTGTAGAAAAGCTTATAAATGAAACAGAAAGCAATTTTTACAGGTGGCTTTCTGCTATTAATAAAAATTAAGTTCAATGGTTATTCAATATTCCCCGCACCCCTAGTTGTACTCGGTCGATTTTAGGTTTGCGTTTGATGAGAGGGAACCGTTTAATAGTGCTACCATAAAAACTTTTTCTCTTACCAATAGACCGTATTATACGTAATGTATACATCTTAACCAGAAAATTATACATGTACAATATTTAGTTCAGTATACCATAGATATGGCTTTTAAATGACATATATCTCTATTCTTTGCCTTTGATTGTCGAAGGCGAATGTCTCGTGACATTTTACTTTTTTGCAATTATTTCGTAATTAGTATAAATATATGAAATGTTTCTTCTACCTCAAAAAAAAGACACATTTATCCTTTTTGTGTTCTATTTAGACAAGGAGAAATTATTTAATTAATTTTCCGTAACAGAGCTAATTACTCAGCTAGTAAATTCTCTTTTCTAAAATTCTAATCCGATAGAGAGACTAAAGAAATCTTACTCACCTTTGGCAAATGGTCATCAACGTAGAAATGACTTCCTGATTGAGTTTACAGTAGGAAGATAACTCGAAAGCCTCTTTTTCTAATACAGCCTTCTTCTCCCTGAGTTCAGCATCAGAAAACCTATCGAATATAATTCGATTCGTATCCAAAATGGGACTCTCCTCTTCAAAGTCGGGTAACTCGTCGTCAATTTTATGTAAATCAACTTGTTGCAGGCTCCCTATCGTGAAATTTTTGAAGATTTTCATCAAGTTCGTATATCTCGAGTTCATCTCCACAAATTTAGATTGCATTAATCTGACATAATTGTCAAAAGCGGCAACCGAGGCGGAATTTAAATCAGAACTTATTTCACTCAACTCCCGACCAACGTTTGTAATAACAGAATTTTTGCAGTTTAATCTAAGAAGAAACAAAAAGGATGAAAGAATTGATACGTTAGTAAAAGGTTCATCTTTAAGGTAATTTGGCCTATGTAGTCTGCAAAATATCTGTTTTAGGTGGCTATTAGCTTACTCGTACGATTTCATAAAGGAAACTAAAGGTCAAATTGGTCTTAATGTGTACATATTGTCCACCAGTAAATTTTATAGTCTTATTCCAAAGAAGATCATTTCCCCATCATCCCTCCTTCCCTCCCTCCCTTTCCCTCCTACCCACCAACAATATCAGAGTATCAGTCTTCCTAAGCATCTTCATTAATATACACTTACATTGTTCCGTTTTTTCCTTTTTTCTTTCTTACCTTGTTGTTCTGCAGGCGGACAATTGCAGTATAAAATTATTGTGCGCTTCATTCAGTTGATTTTTACTATCTTTGGCTCCAGTTTCGTAATTTTCAAAGGCTTTACTGTATTTGAGTTTGGCTTGGGTCAATTTTTCTGTACAACTACTGCACAAAGAATTTAAATTTCGTTGAAATGTTTGCAGTTTTGTAGTTTGACGTTGCTTATAGTGTGAAATTTCAGCAAGAGGTGCTTTGACAGTTGTCAACAGTAAATCAGCCGTTTCCTCATAGTTTCGGCTATCGTGAAGTGTTTCCTGAAGAAGTCTTTCCCAAATTTCACTATAAAAAAATGAAAATATATAGAAAACGATTATAGTATTCTTATAACTTAATAGTATATACAGTATATATATATATTAGTATATATCTACAATATAAAGTATATATTTTTATAAATGCATAAGGTAAGTAGATTATTAGTCTACAGATTTTTTTCTATGACAATCAATTAGTCGGCTTTCGAAGCCTTATGCTTTTGAAAGAATAATTTGTATAACATAGCTTATGCAAAGTAAAATCTTTGATATCGTTAAAAGGAAACCAAGTGCCGCTAATAGCTATAAGTCACTTTCAAGAAAAATGTAAAACGTTTTCTTTTTATTAACCAACTTCCAAGTATCCTTCTTCCATTTTTTTCGCTCTTTCTCTGTCTGTCTTTCTCTCTCTCTCTCTCTCTCTCTCTCTCTCTCTTTCTCTCTCTTTCTCTCTCTCACTCACTCTTTCTCTTCACCTCTCCTCATTTTACCGATTTCACTAAGTAATTAGTAAAAAAATTTTATAAGTTTTAGCCATTTCCAGGAAAAGCGGAAAGTGAGAATGACGAATTTACTGGATTAACAGTCTATTTTTTATATTCCCCAGAGATTTTACTAATCTCTTAGACGCTTTCATACAACTTCAGACATTTTAAGCCTATCACTAAGCAAGACTAAATAAGAGCTACCCAGGAGGTATTAAAAATTTACAGCTTTCTCTTTCATTGTAACTAATAAAGAAGGTTTAATTGTCGCCAACTCATTGCCGTATACGTCATTGTTTTTCTTAATTGATTGTTTACGTAGAATAGCTACATATTTTCCCCTTCTCCTAGAAAAAGCGATATAAATAACTCTATACAATTCTTTTCATAGGTAAATAAATAAATACGTCCGAGGCAAATTAGACCATACAGCAAATAACTAAAAATGGATTTAGTATACTTTATATACAGTATATATATATATAATAGTTCTGCATACGCAGTATGTAAAACCTTACAATGCTATACTTTTGTTTTTTACACATTTATATATACGGTATATCCGTTGTATGCTTTACAGACAGGAATAATATTTATCATTAAAAAAAGCTATAATTTAATTACTAACTTCCGTTTTATTTCTTTAATTTATTACATTTTTATTTTAGGACAAAACTAAGTGTTTTTAAAGTATAATAATGCTATTGTATTTTTAAATATTTACTCCTTTTATTGATTTTGTCGACATGTTCTTTGTTCAGTATTTCTAATGAATAGTTAAACTAAAATTATTATATAGTCCTATTATTATCATAAATTATTCATCAAGAATTATTTACACTGGTTATTGCATAACAACTCTGTTGTTTTCAATTTCTCTTTCAATAAAAATCCTTCTTACTATATTATAGAAAATGGATAATATATATTTATATACAATTCATATTGTACATTTGTTTAAAAGCAGTGTAAATGTTTAGTATTTAAGATTGCAACTATATAGAATGTATATAGAGAAGAGAGAGAGAGAGAGTGTGCGTGTGTGTGTGTGAGTGTGAGTGAGTGAGAGAAATAAGAAACATACTACAATGGCATTATGGAATTATAGAATTTTTATGTTTATTTACAGAATATGCACTTTATGCACTGTACGGCACATGTACTCTATGTATATAACACCTATACTTCTTTTTGTATTCTTTCCTTCTAACTATATATATATATACAGTATATATTTATAGACTATTTCTACTTTATATCTGTCTCTAGAGTTATTATGAAAAACAAAATAACACCTTTAGGAAATGAAATAACCACCTTTTCCCCATTTTTCATAAATATATAATCAACTCTCAGTTGGATCTTTTTTTTTTACTACTAAATTGACAGTTAATAATGGATTATGTAAATTTTTTTCCTTTCGATTTGTTTTGTTTTATTAAAAAAACAAAAATAAATTAAAACTATTATATTTTATTTTTTCTTTTGTTGTTTATTGAAAAATTTGTCTCAGTCTTTATTTTTTAACCCATTTTTTCCCCTTTGATTAGGAAATTTTTTACAATTTATACTCTTTGACACTTTACTACTTAATGTAATTAATTAGGCTTATTCATTATGATAATATGAGTGATTTAATCCCATTAGGGAAAAGTTCACAGCTAAAATATTATATTACGTATATCTACACATTTATTTACTCGAGTTTCTGTTGGTAAATTTCAATTTTCCTTCAGTCCAAGTATTAGAAAAGTACTTGTGTAGAATACCAACATTACGAAAGTTGTAATTCTACTGAAAGAAAAACTTGTAAACTAGAAAATAGCTGTTCTTTTAAGGATTCTTACATTCTAATTAAGGTACTTCCTACAGGCATACGAGGGCAACAATCCTACAGTTGTACTATTAAAAACGTTTCAAAGTGAAAAATGAAGGAAGACAGTCTATATACTCGACTTTTATACAGTTCTCTTTATTTCTTCAACTGTGAAATCACTCTATTCGTCAGTTTTCTCTTCTCGCACATGTAGCAATATTTTGAATTGGAGACGGAAGCAAAAGAGAAACTTAATGGTCTTAAAAGGAGTCACGATATTTCGTTCCACTTCCTTTAATCTAGCCAAATAGTGTGATAACGAATACTGATGAAAACATTGAAAAATCCTTAAAAGATAATCCGAGAAATTTTGACATCTGAGCCTCTAATAGATAATTGTACGCGTTCACTCCACCTTCTTCGTAAAAATACGAAGAGTAAGTACTTAAAGCTTTTAAGGCAAGGCAGTATTTCATAAGTAGTTTGATATTATATCTAAATTCCTTCTCCTAGGTTGTAAGCAGTTACATTATATCCTTACGAGGCTTATGAGGTTAGTTAATGTCAATTCAATTTTATTTGACTTCTACAAATTTAATGATTTCATCTCTTAATCACATGATCCTTCTTCTGAATAATGAAAATTCTATTTTAAAAAGCTTCTCTTAAAATATTGAAAAACCAAGAAAATTGTCCTTGGTGAAAATTAATATAAGGTTTATATGGGAGAATCATATAAAATATACTGTATATTTACAGTATATATAATGAGGTATCAAGTCAAATGAAAATACTACCTCATGGGACATAAATGAAAGAATTCGCAAACCACTTAGCACTTTTGTAAACAGTTTTAGTTCATTAACCGTGTGATTTTTCATTTTTACGATGTTTCTTTTTGTTTTTCAATAAAACTAAACAATAAAAAAGAGACAATCGTGTTTTCTTTCTCTCTAAATAAATAACTTTTTACTAAATAGATAGATTGTTTTTAGCGGTTTGTCTTTTTTAATCTTTTAATACGGTTGATTACTTACCTTGCACCATTACGTTGAAATCGGGCATTTTTTTTCATGAAACCATCAACAACACTTTGCAGTTGGCTGGCAAATTGTGAATACACTCGTGAAACATTTTCGGCAAACGAGGCGGCTGTTTTAAGTTGAAAGAAAAGTAAAAATTTGAAAATTATATACACGAATACTAAAACAATAATAAGTTTTTATATGTTTACTTTAAACGCATACATGTAAATTAAAAGAAAAGGTTTTCGCTGTATTATTTAAGCCTACGTATGTGTTTTAAAAATATTTAAGGAAGGAAGACAGAGAGAGAGAGAGAGAGAGAGAGAGAGAGGGTGAGATGGGGGAAGAGAAATAGTATCAATCCTATGAATATTTTCCATCAAATCTTTGAGATTTTTGCAAGTCTAAATGCAATTTTTTACTAGATAAATATTTATTTTGGACAATCATTTTCCAACAAAATTTTTAGTTTGTTAAAAAACAACAACAGAATATGATAATAACGATTTCAAAAATGTATTGATTCTGCATCTCATTTATAAAGCATCTGGGAATAGACTAGATATGTAGATACACACACGCATATATATATATATATATAAACATATACGCATATCAGGAAAAATAGTCCGAATACGGTTATTTATCTTACATTTATATGACACGCTTGTAAGTGCAGCCTATTAAAAATGTATATTATTGTCAGCTAGTTTTTTTTTCTTTATTTCATTTCATAGTTCATTCACATCTTGCACTGGAAAAAGAATCTTCTTCGCTCTTAATTTAAATCTGATTTCATTATCTCTTAGCATCTTTCTTACGTGAATTCATACTAATATTTTCTATAATTATAACCTGGTACATATTTTTTTCACCATTTCGTTTTCTCTTTGCTAATTAGATGAAAAGAGTAAAGCGAGGTGAAAATTATTGCCTATTTAAATATCCTTTGTGACAAAAAAACAGACCTTATTATACATATATCAATAAAAGTGCTATTATTCTTATAGAAATTTTACCATAAATGAAAATATCTCTTCTTTTTCTTCTTATCCCCTAATCTTTATCTATTCATTTTCTTGTTATACTCTATTTTCCCCAACAATAAAATATATGCTTAAATGCTTCGTATATATTTGTTTTTGCCTCAGAAAATTCAAAGAAACAAAGGTAAGTATAGCTAATAAAAGAGATGAGATTGGTTGTTTAAGAAGTGACTCATGGCTTTATCACGTGACCTTATTTAGCTTTTTTAAGCGTAATCACGATGTAAACGGAAAAGCTTGTACATTTCAATTTGTAGATAGAATATTTGTGAAATAAGAAGAGCCAAGAAACTTTCCACTTGACCTTACAGCTAAAAATATATTCATAAGACGTGCAAGTTTCGCTTATCTTTATCCTTTTCTCTTCTAAATGTTTTATGAAAACTTTGAAACGCTGTTTATTCGCCTTAGCAGGGCCAAAAATAATCAACTAAACATCGTATGGTTTTTATTTATGCCATTCTCACTTATTTTCTCTTTAATGTCAAGATAATTTTGACATATTTGCAGGTCATATTGGCATTTACTAATTTTTGTTGAGAAAAAAATTACCAGGAACTTAATCAACGTCTCTTTCCTTCTGCTCTCACGCTTCCTTCTTCTAAATCCACTTATCAACTATCTCTCAACTATTCTTATATAATATCGTTTATAAGTTGATTTATAATAAATCGTATATTTTGCCCCCTATAGTTGTTTATTAACATAATTTTTATGATAGAGAGAGAGAGAGAGAGAGAGAGAGAGAATAATATACAATTTTTTCATATTTATTAATAGGTTAGTTTGATTCCCGTATAACCTTGTTCTTTAGTCGTAATAGCGTGCTCTTACTTCGAATCTGGAGGAGGTCTCGCTTTGTTTGCGGGCTAAGGAAAAAGTACTGTTTATTTGCATAATATCCCCTACAAGCCTTCCTTTATCGGAGCTGCTTATTATTACTATTTCAATTTTCAACAGAAGAGATGATTACTCTAATAACGTAAACAAATACTTTCTTTGATACAGATCAATAATTTTAATTCGATTAAATAATGAAGTTTAAGATGTTAGAACCAAAAAGCAAAGAAATATTAATGAAAGTGAAAGAGAAATTATTGAGATATTTAATCATA